GCAAAATCGGCATCTCTTTGAATGTATGGCCGGTTGGTGGTTTAGTCTCAATTATTTGCAGCAAGGTCAATGTCATGTAATGCAGCCTTGTTTCCTATGTGGGACTGCACATTTAATTGCCTACAATTTAATCACAACTCAAAATTTATTTGCGTGGAAGTTGCTTTTTTTTTTTTAATAAATAATTTTGCTTTCATGATTGCTTTGCTTCAATGTTATCTTAATAATTAGCCAATCTTCCTTCCTTTGTTTTGTACAAAGCTTGATAAGATTTATAACCCCGTCGCAAGCTAGATAAAGTTAGTAGCTACATACATACATAAACATATTTAAAAAACAGCTTATCAGAAAATGCAGATACAAATTTTGTTTAATAACTTAGTGTACACCATTTATAAATGTATTTAGGACATGAATAAATAAATCCACAACTAAATACATTCATTCATATCAATGAAGGTACATTAATCTAATTCAACCGACTACCTATGCGTGCTGATTCTTTTATAAGCATGTATTTTGGCATTTTAAAAGGAGTTATTCGAAACTCAATACAACGAATTTGTAGAGACCAGATAATAATGAGTAACTATAGTGGCCCTTTAACAGATCATAACAAAAATAATAAAAATAAATCACCTTATCGTTGAAATGTTGAACGTTATTATACTTGCTTATTTATCGTACATAGTATGTATGTATGGATGTTTTGCGCAGACAGCTACTGCACTCTTATCTCCGTTGATAATTAGATATTTCCTTGTTGATGATAATAAAAATGCTGAAAATTAATACATACCACAATCGGAAGTTACGCTTATTAGATTTTTCAAAAAAATGTAATATTTATTTGAGTGCATTCATGCATAGTATATTGTCATCGGCGTATGTATGGCGAAACAACTTTTTACATTTCTGCTGTGCCAATTCGTAACTTTTTACATCTGGAAATTTTTGATAGTTGCTTTGATGCTGAAAAAGGCTACAAGTTCCCCAAAGGGTTTTTGGGGTGTGTTGCTGGAGTGACAGTCCTTGGCCAGATATAAATCTGGGTCGTTCCGGTTACGTAGACCCGCTGCAGCTATAGAGAAAATATTGCTGATTTCACTTCTTATGGAACTGAAATCCATGCATTTATTACATCTATCTTTTAGCAATAATATTAGAAAAAAAAACACCAAAATCGTCTGGTAAGTGTGCTTACAAAAAAGTTGAAAACCGTGTACAATCAAGGCACTTTAAAAATGTCATTGCTGGGCAAGGCTTCCTCAAGTGGGCCCCGAATTTACCAAGATTAATATTTTTCAATGATATTCAGGCAGCGCCGAGTTTTGGAGTCGAAAAGTACACGGTGTAAATTTTGTTGCAAAATTCCAAATAGTTTTTTTTTTAATTAACAATTGAAAATTTTTGTAGTGTTTTGGAGATTTAAATTTTTCTTTGAAAGTAAGTGTCCGAAGGAAAAATTAAGAAACATTAAACTATACAATGAAATTATTTGCGTTACAAAATTTCTAATTTTTTTTTTGCTTTTCAACAATTTTGTTATAAACAATTGAACATTTAAACCACTTCTGCTCCTCGTGGACGCAAATTTTTATCAACAACTTATGTAAAAAACATTTCTGCATATATTTATGAAAAAAATTCATGCATTTCGATATAGTTTGGTCGGAATGAATTTTTATTTCCGACCAAACTATATCGAAATGCACGCATTTTTTTCATAGATATATGCAGAAATGTTTATTACATAAGTTGTTGTTAAAAATTTTCGTTCACGACGCGCAGAATTAAAATAAATTATCCATTATTCAAATTGGAAAAAAAAATAAAAAGAAAAAGTAAGAAAAAATTCTCCCAAATTTTTTTCAAGTAGAGAAAATTTCATATTTTAAAGTTTCATCATTATAAATTTTTAAAATGCTTTCAAAAGGACAAGAGAAACTGGATCTACATTCATGTACATATCGCACACGATCTTCAAATGAGACACAACTCAAAATTACACGTTCGCCAGAAAATGTGAAAAACTATTCCTTAGCACATGCTATTCATATTGGCAAGGGCATGATTCAATAATACAAGGTTAGATAATTATTGACAGCTGCGGTTTGACACTCCCTTACAAAAGGTTGCATTTACGGAGGACAGAGAAAGGGCAAGAATGCAATCGCTTGTTTCGAAAATGGTAGTAGAAAAGTACGCAAAGTAGGCAATTAGTAGTGAAATTCCTTTCGTAAATTCTAA